CCCCCCCCCCCCCCCCGCCCTCCCCCTCCCTCAACAGGTCAATCATACTGCCTGGCCTTCACCAGCGCACCCAGTAGGCCACTTGTTTCACCAGGCAGGCAAGGAGGGCCAGTGCCACTCGTTTCTCTTGGTCTCGCCAGATGTGCCCAAGCTCGTGTTTGCGTTCGAGACGGAGAAGGCGATGAATGAGGCGCTCATTCGAGAAGTGGACTACCAACAGGGACTCATGGAGATGATGAACCCCCAGTACGAGCGCAGCACTGACACGTAAGGCAGAATCCTCCCCCTCCCCCCTGCCGTCACACACACGCCTTGGATCTGCATGTGGCTTTGTTTCTGTGATGGATGGATGGATGGACTGATAGGTACAACAACTCTCTGTCGTCGGGTTTGACCACGCCCCGCTCCAACAAGACCACGCCCGTGATGCGCCCTGTCGAGCCCTCCCTCGACCGAATCGACAACGTCAAGCAAGAGAAGGAGAAGCCGGTCGCCGAGTCCAAGGACACGCAGACGGACGCCGTCGAGAGCGAGCCCATCGTCAAAGAAGTCGTGAAGGAGGTCATCAAGGAGGAAGACGATGAGAAGCAGTACGTCAACAAGGCTGACATCGAGAGTGAGTGACTCGCAGCGCAGACGAGACGGCACAAAGAAAATCTGATCACATCACGCCTTCACGCTTTCCCCTTCGCCTTCAGATCTGAAGAAGCTCAGTGACGAGGTTTCGAAGTGCATCGCGGCCATCCTGAAGACACCCCCCGTCATGCCAACTCCGGCACTGCCCATCGCCACGCCCAAGACGCCCGCCGAAATCACCACAACACCCAACACCACCAACTCCACCGCCGCCACCAAGGGCACCCGTCTGGCGTCGACTACCACTGCTGCTGCTGCCGCGGGGGCCCCCCAGGAGGGACCTGCCGCTGCTGCTGCCGCTTCCTCGACGACGACGACGACCACCACCACCACCGGCGGCCAGGGGGTGAAACGCGGCCCCAGCCAGTTGGAGGGGGGGCTGGGCATGTGGCTGTTTGGATCGGGCCACAAGTGAGTCAAGAATGGCAAGAATGGCCGGCACGAACGAATCTTTTTCCCTCTGGCTGCCTGCCTGCCTGCCTGTGTGATCGATATGGTGGCTGAATGTGTGTGGTTGGTTGGTCGGCTGGCGTGCCGTGCCGTGCCGTGCTATGCTGAGCCGTTGGAGTGTGGTGTGATGGTATTGTCAGTTGGTGTGTAATGGCGTTTTAGCTCAAGAGATAGGCACGACCCATCAACGGTCTATTCCATCAACGAATCAGCCAACGAATATGTCAGTCTGCAGTTTTTGAGGGGGTGAGTGAGCGAGTGCGAGAGAGCTGAGGCGAGCCATCGGTTGCTTGCTGTGAGCCTCTCCGTTCGCGCGTGTGGATGGATGGATGGATGGATCGATTCATTCGATAAGTACAGACAGTCTTGGGTGTGCGTGAGAATGAATGTGGTGTGCTGTTCTCCATAGCTAGGTCCTCTCTGTTTTTCGGTCGACTACCGGCCTGCCGGTCTTTTCGCCTGTCTGTCTTGTCTGTCTGTCTGTCTAGTCAGAGTTGCTCTCTCCTGTGCGAGCATCTGTCGGCCATCAGGAAGGTGAGATGGAAACGAAGGCCAGCACAGTGAGTCAGAGTGCGAGCGATCTTCGCCACACACAGAGTTTCCATCGTTGTCACACAGAGAGTCAGAATGATGCAGAGTGACAACGATCATCAGACTCAGACTCGATCTTTCTCTCTAGAGGACTTTTTCGTTAAGACAATCGATGGCCATGCCCATAAACAAAGTCGGCCACACACACACACACGGCGTCTGACGTGTCGTACCGATCCGGCAGCAGTTCTTACACACGAATAAATAACACACAGACAGGGGAGGGAGGGTCCTTCGTTGCTGCCTGCCTTGGCTCAATCAATGCAATCAGAGTCGATACTCGATATGGCCGGCCTGTGTGCTGTATCGGCAGCCCTTGTAGGGCTGGTAGCTCACTGACGACACCTCCAAAGTGTCCAACTGCGCACACGAATAAGCACACAATGGATGACGCTCTGTGTGTGGGTCACTGGGGTGGCCGACCCTACTTACCTTGACGCCTGATATGGCCCAGCCCTTGACCAAAAACGACACATCCGCCACACACCTGCACACACGCATGACACAAACACATTGAGGACAATTTATGACACAAACACATTGGGGGGATGGTTGGCTTAGTTACTTGAGCTCCTGGGGCGCGACGCGGCCGTAGCTGCCCTCCTTAGCGCCGTCATAGGTCAGCTGATGGATGGATGGATGGACATACATGCCATGCCATGCATTAATCGGCGGTGGATGTGTGTCCCGGTTTACCTACCGTTCCCTCAGCATAGTGGGACGGCGGCTGCTGGTCGGAACTCAGCTTGGGGATGCTCCACACTATCGCCTGCACACACAAACAGACAACGACCCGGCCAATGTCAAGCACCGCAGAAAAACACACAGTAGACGGGGTCGCTAACTCTGGTGTCGCTCTTGTATTTGATGGTGCCGGCAGTGGCCGTCAGAGTGGCGCCAGACACAAACCTGACCGCACCCCACCCCACACACACGTGCACGCCGCCCTCTCGTCTTTGTCTGCTTTGTGTGTGTGTCTTTCGCTCACTCTGGCATGGGTATGGTGATGGAGACCTTCTCCAGGACGGCCTGCGTGTGCGCGGTGCCGCCCCCAGTGCCGCCCACCATACCGACCGACAGCTTCGGACCCACACGCAGCTCAAGACGACCACTCGTCTGCACCATCCACAGACAAACACAGCGGTGCAGTGAGTGGCTCGCGAGGCATGTCAGTCAGTCAGTCAGTCAGGTGATCCAACTTACTGACCTGCATGAGCGTGAGGGACGGCTGGAGGTTGATGGGCGGCTGCAGGGTGGGGTCGGACAGCCAGTACCGACACACGGTGAACTCCCCATCGGGCGGCACAAACGACAGGACCTTGTCACGCTCGTATCGATGTAACCTACACGCATTTCGTGGTTGGTAGAAAGCGGACTGGCTGGCAGCTGGGCAGGTGGTGGGTCGTGTGGCGTACCTGACACATGGGTGGAATGATGAGTTGTCGAGCAGTGAGGGGTTCTTGACTGTCAGAGTCAAATCGGGCAGGCCTGATAGCTGCTCAGCAACACAACAAGGAGGGAATATGGCACCACTGGCCCATCTGCGTGGGCGTGTTCCACATCCACCGACGCACCTTCGAGTTGACGACAACCTCGCCCGCAATGGAGGCAGCGACCGTCTGACCATGACTGCACCCAGACAGACAACACAACACAACACAACACACCACAACACATGACCGCATCCATCATTCTCTTCTTCTCCCTGCCCACCCACCCCAGCACACCCACCTGTCGATGATGCAGTCCATGGTCTCATTGATATCGACATACACCTCGTTCCCGGCATACACCACATCCGCACGCCGCCACCAGATGTCGCTCCCGCACCCAGTGATGCCCCCGCCACTGCCGAACGGGCCCGCCGGCTCACCCATGTTGGCCTGCGGCGGCTGGTTGGTCCCTGATGACCCCCACGCCAGCTCGCTGAGGACCTTGGATGACCCACTCACCACCTGCACCACCTTGTTCAGCACTGAGGGGGGGCTGATTAGCATCTGCATGGCACAGAGAGAGGGGAGAGAGAGAGAGAGAGAGAGAGAGAGAGGGAGGGAGGGAGGGAGGGAGATGCTTCGATAGAGTGGAATGGTGGCCACTGACCTCTAGCAGGTTTGGTTCAGTGATGGCGGGGAGGCCGCTGTCGACCATTTCGTCGAGGACCAGGTAGAGGGTGGAGAAGTGGGACCGCAGCGTGTCCTCCGTCACCTCGCCAAAGTAGGTCACCAGCACACTGTGGATGCGCTCCAACAGCTCCAGCATCGTCAAGGGAGATACCTGCACACACACACACATTGCCACCCCCACCGATCTCTGCCTGTCTGCCTGACTGTCAGCCTGTCTGTCAGTGATCGCAAGCGTACATCGACTCTGGTGACGCCGAGGTAGAAGAGTCGGTGTTTGCGGATGTGGAAGAGCGTGTGGCGCCTGTCGTGGCTGAACACCGCGGGAATGGCGTCCCCCGCCCGCCAGCCCCTCTCGGCATGGGTCTGCAACAGGTCCAGGAAAGGATCACAGACGGCGCGGCCAATGCGGCCTCGGAAGTGCTTCTCGACGATGAAACTCCTGCACGGATACACAAGGCAGACGGCGTGTGTGTGTGCAATGAGTGAGATCTATCCTGTCACTCACTCACCCAGCGTCGTTGAGTATGAAGAGCGCATCCATCTGCGGAGATCACCACCCAAACCTGCCTCGGCCACCGATCCCTTCACTTGCGAGCTCAAAAGGGGCAGATACTCACGCAAGACTTAAGGTTGAAAGCCATGAAGCAGCCCACGTTGGTCACTGCCACGGCAGATCTCCCAGACGTCCTCAAAGAATCGGCTTCTGAAGTGGATGTTTCGCCAGAGGAGGCTACAGGGGGCGAGGGCAAAGGCAGCGCTCGGCTCTCAGATATTCCCACCACCGTCTCGACATCGGTCTCCACCCCTGCAGCGGAGGGCCGGGCTGATCTGTGGGGCTTTCTGGTGCTGCAGATTGGCTGTGTGACCTTTTGGCTGACGGACTACCCTCTGAGGCATTTCCTTCTCATCATCGGCCTGGTCCTGCTCTATACACTCTGCTGGTGTGGTGGCATTATCTATTTCTTCTTCCCACATGGTGCATATTTATCTAGCCCGGGCGGGGGATATCGACAGGATGCGCTACCGCTGGGGATCACGACTTTGCTACTGTTGTTGGTGATGGTCCTCATTGTGCATTGGGAAGTCTGTGCGCACCGCCTCTCTCGTGTTGCATTCGATGCATCATCTGCTTCTCTATCGTTCTGACCATCGTGGGATCCGGGTACTTCTTTTCTATGTCCGCCGCTGAGAGCGCCGTGTCACTTCAAGAATTCTCGCGTCTCGGCATACTTGCGTGGGTGGTTGGCGCGGTTCTTGTGCAGTTCACCCTCTTCGTTGTCTTATCGGAACCGCGCGTCGTCCGTGCATCGACCAGTCCGACGGGTGGAAGGGACCTCGACGTCGATCAGGACCGGCTATCATGCTGCGGCCGTCGGGCAGGCTGGAGACCATCGGCGAAGGCCGAGCGCATAGCCAAGGCTCGGCAAACAGAGCCCTTCCTGTACCGATCCGTGACCAAGCGGTGGCTCAAGCGGGTGGATTATCTCACGTTCATCCGATTGTACAAGATGCTGGCCGTTGTCGGGATGGCCATCGACTTCCTTACTGATGTGGCGGTGGGCGTGGAATTACTCTTCTGGTCTGACTTTCCAAGTCATCGAGAAGCGCATGGCTTGGAAAGAGAAGGTCAAGGCATCCGAGCTGCCGGCGTCATCATCGTGGGCTTGTCGATGGCTGACTTTGTGTCGTTGTCTATTCACTATGCCATCCGCGGCTCTCCCTCATTCAGCCAACACCTGTGGACTACTACTTTTGCCCTGCTGGAAGTGCCCATCTTGGTGCTGACGATTATGTGGGCAAGGAAGGATATCAATCTCCCACTCTTTATCGTGTCTGCCTTTGTCGCGCTTGTGGCGGTTCTATTCTTTTGTGTGGAGCATCTATGTGCGGCGAAAAGCCGGGGCGGCCGCGAGCAACACACACGAGGTGAGTGAGGGTGAACGGAGGAAGGACGAGCGAGGAACTCCTTGGTCATGTTATTGATGGGTGTGTTATGGCAGTGAGAGTCACGGTCGTCTGATGGGTGGCATATTACTGGGGGCAATGTGGTGTTTCCTGCTAGTGGCATCGACTGACAAGTGGCTCGCTGTTTTCCACCTAATCGGACAGGGAGGGACCCAAGTGATGTCGGTAGAAGTGTTCATGCCCGCCGTGGGGTGAGGTGTGTCGTGGGTGTGGACAGTTAAAGATGGCTCCATGCCTTTTAGCTGCTGAGTTTTCTTGCGGGGGGCTCGTCGACATACATGTGATGTTGTTCTGGACCGATGGAATGGCTACCTGAATTCATGGCGTGACGCATCTGTGTGTGTGGGTGTGTTCTGTTTGTTTGTTCTGTTTCGTTGGTTCCCTTCCGCTTCGCTTCTCTTGCCCCCTCCCTCCCTCCCTCCCTCCCTCCCTCTGTGTGTGCGTGATAAGGGGGGCGGGTGCTGTCCTGGGACCTGTTGATCTGAATCCCGAGATTTAATTAGACTTGATCTCAATGACTTCTATCTGCCAACACACACCTTCCCCAGTCGTCCTTTCCACTAGGATGCACCCACGTGCAGCCAACACCACAGTGCACAGCTTTCCCTCTCTGTTTGTGTTGTGGCTGCACGTGTCGTCACTCCCGCCTGTACCTGTGTTGTCTAATGTTTGTCTTTCGTTCAGTGATCCGCAATGCTGTCCGCACGAGCCTCTCGAGCATCGCCTACATCCGCAATCTCTTCCCCGAGGACTGCTTCGAGGAGAAGACCATCATTGAGTCACCGAGAGAGGCGACACATACATGGCCTGGCCAGGAAGTGCATGTCTCTCTCTGTTTGTGTTGTGGCTGCGTGTTGTCTGTGTTGTGCAGGTGAGTTGCCGTTGAAGATTTTGCGGCCCAAGGACGAGCACAGCGAGGCGGCGAAGCTGCACGCGTGGCTCGAGGAGGGCGTGTTCGACGCCATCGACAAGAAGTGCCTCCGGTCAGCCACACACACAGGCAGGGAGGGAGGGATGCACTCTTGTGTGTGTCTTGTGCTGTGTCTTGTGGATGGATGGATGGATGTGGTGGTGCAATCAGTATGTTGATCTTCGGCATCCATGACTCGTTGACGGACGCGCTGCTCGAGTCCTACCACTTCAAGGCACACACACACAGAGAGAGACACTGACCAAACCACACCACGCCCATCTCTCTCTGTGTGTTGTTTGTGCAGTTTGCGTACGACAACGGTGTGAGTGTGGACGTGGAGCGCGACAACGGCCACCCACAGGCACAGCCGAGTGCGAGTGCGAGTGTGGTGAGGCAGCAGGCGACGGGGGCACACAGTGGGGGAGTGTCCAAGGAGGAGGCCAAGAAACAGACCACGTCGATGCTGCAGAACCTCATCTTCCTCACTCGTGAGTCAGTCAAGGCAGCCACTCAACACCCACAACACACACCGACCTCCATCCCCTCTCTCTGTCTGTCTGTCTGTCTGTCTTTCTGTCTGTCTTTAGAGGAGCTCAGCCCGCTGCCAGGCAGGCCAGGCCCATCCACACACACACACATCCTTCCTGTCTCTCCCTCTGTGTGTGTGTGTGTGTGTGTGTGCAGATGACCGCTATCTGACCATGAAGATGATGTAAGCAGATAAAGGTCATTGACAGACTGAATGGCCACTGACCATCCCCTTCACTGTCTGTCTCCCTGGCATGGCATGTTGGCTGCTCTGAGTGCAGGTACTACGACGAGCGGATGTCTGCCACTTACGAGCCGAAGCACTTCCGCCCCTTCATCCCCACCGACCCATCGAACCCGTCGGCTCACTACAACGAGATTCCGCTCGAGTGCGCCTGTGGCGGCATCGACACACAGCACCACCAGATGACACTCAAGGTCAAGACGGCGTGTGACGACGGCATCCACGCCATCCAGCAGCCGCACCCACACGCCAGCCACCATGGCGACATCCATGGCGACCACAACGACCAGCAGGGGCAGCACGAGGAAGCCAATGACCACGGACAGCAGCAGCCGGCCGCAGGTATGTGTGCCAGACGAGACAGAGAGAGATCTGGCGCACACCACACCCACGTGTGTCATTGGATGTGTGTGTGTGTCACTTAGACGACGACGCTGCGATGGCGCCGGTCGATGCGCTCGACGACGGCCAACAGGTGCAGACGACGGATGGATGGATGGATGTGTGTGGCGTGATGTTTCAGTTGTCGGTGTTGGGTGAGATTCGCGCCTTCTGCGAGCGACACAACGAGTGCGGTGAGCGCAGCGCAGCGAGTCCACACAGACACAGAAAGCCGGAGACCGCCATTGACTTGACGTGTGTGTGAGTGAGTCCAGTCAAGAAGAATCTGTTGAAGGCCTTCCCGACCATCACACGCACACAGATGGACCGTCCGCAACGGCACACACGCACACCCACACCACTCACACACATTCCTCTCTCCCTCTCTCTGTGTGTGTCCCCAGAGTATTTGGGTGAGTTGGTCTGTGCGGACTTCCTCGTCAAGCGCGGCAACTCCCGCTACTACCTCTCCAATCCCCGCACGAGCACCGACAATCCCAACGAGGCGCCGCAGACGACCGCACAGCAACAGCAGCCACACACAGACGCACACGCACAGGCAGACGCAGAGCAAAGAGACGACCAGCCGGCCCCGCAGCCCAACAACGACGATGACCCATCGGTCGCCCACACACCCACCACACCAGCATACACACACATCCATGCCCTTGTCTGTCTGTCTGTGTGTGTGTACTCAGCTTGATTACGAGGCTGAGGCGCTTCTGACGACGGCCACCAAGAGGCTCCTCGACAGCGACGTCCGCTATGTGAGCACACAGACACACCGTCCAGCCATCCATCTCTCTCTCTGTGTATGTGTGTGTGTGTGCAGGTGACGTGTGTGAGTTTGGCTGCGATGATCGGGCAGGACGAGGAAATCGCACAGTGCATAATCGAACAGTAAGTCGCTGCCACACACCCACACACACACCCACACACACACGCACATGTCATTCTCTGTCAGGCTGCAGGAGAGCGGTTTGCTGAGCACCCGTGACTACATGGGCAAGGGCTTCAGTGTGCGGCGACACAAATACAACGACTCGCAGCAACAACAAGGTACAAAAGACAGACACACACCACAGGCGCCACGTGTGTGTGTGTGTTTCTCTCTCTCATCTCACTCGTCCGTCAGTGTCGCGCAAGCGTGGTCGTGCGGCGGTGGACGACGACAAGTCGTCGCACAGTGAGAACGACAAGAAGGGCCGCCAGTCGATCAGCAGCCCAGCCATCAGACAGAGGGCAGACGGACTCTCGTAACCACACCACAACACACACAAATGGATGGATGGATGGCTGGATGTCTCTGTGTGTGTGTCTGTGTGTGTGTCTGTGTGTGTGTCAGGAAGCGGCCGCGCCGCACACTGCCGATGCTCAAGTGACAGGCAGACAGACTGACTGACAGTGAGAGCCAGACAGGCATGCGTGGCGTGTGTGTGGCGTGAGAGACTCAGCTTTGATCATGTTATCGCAACAGACACAGACGACAGACAGACAGACAGACAGACAGACCGACACAGACAGACGAACGAGTCAGTGAGAGCATGAAGGACCGACTGAAACACGCAAACATGACAGCCCCCTCATGCACAGACTGTGAGTGAATGCATGACAGTAAAGTCCGACACGCATGCTGCAGCCACCCACCTTGCGTCTGTACCACGAGCATGTTGGATGATGAGCCCGGGACGCCTGCTCATTCAAACACCATGAGATTTGAGTCGGTTGGCTGACTGCGTGCCCATGTTGCTTTGCCTGTGCGTATTGTTCGCGAGCGGTGGCTTTCGGCGAGCAGTTTTGTTATTGTTTCTAGCGCCGTGAACCCCCCTTAGGCACTCGACTACGGCTAGCTAAGTCACTCACTTGCGCGGTTTGGGGTGTGCGTGGACTC